GTATATGTTTCATTATATTTTAGTCTTCAATAATTTAATTTTTTTTAAAATTTGGTCCCCAACTACAAAATATAGGTTTAAATAGTTCCCAAAGCTTGTGTTGTCAAAATTGATTTGACTTTGGGTGTTTTTAAAACTTTACAAAAAAATTAATAAGTTTGAAAATTTGGGGAAAAAATATAACAAAATACATATTTTAAAAACTAAAATACATACTTTAAAAATCATGTGCGTATTTTGTTGACGCGCACCATAAATTAAAAAAATATCACTATTCTTTTTAATCAATTTTGACAATCTGAATGTTTGGAACCAGTTAAACTCATATCTACAAAAGCATACTTCGTAGCACATTGGTTTAATTAGTTCTTTCAAAAAACTCATAAATGCATCATTCGATTTTCAATATGTATCGTTCGATATTCCCTGCTACACCACAATTAGTAAGACCGATTCGTCTCCCGATAACTCCAGGGTGCTTGAAAAAGAAGGATTCATAAAACTTACAACCAATTAATGCTTCTATATATGTAAAATAAATTTGGGTGTAGGAAGGATTTTTACAGGACCATACGCAAATATGAGATGAAGAATAAACCCTACATATGGTGTATCCCACATATGAAACCTAGCTTTTATATTTATAAAAATTTTCCATTTTCATAGCACAATTAGCATATATCGTCATACTAATTAAAGAGAAAAACCTTGTTAATTAGTTATATTTACTAAGACCACTACCACTAGGACCAGCCTTGAGATTTAGGCCTATGGCGAATTTCGAAAATGGAACCTCTCTTACATTCAAAAAAAAAGAAGAGAGTTTATGGATAAAACAATAAGTTATAACTTTTTTATTTGTTTGTATCTACAAAAAAATTTACTTGCACATATAATCGTTAAAATTATAAACAAAACAATTTAATGAAACAAAATTAGTACAAAAAAATTGTTCAATTAAAATTGATATAGACCTATGTAAAAAAATTGGGGCAAAATTATTTATTCCACTAAAATCTAATAGATAAAGAAGGTTAAAAAAAAATTAGGACCCATATATTATATGTATTGTTCTTCTTGGGCCCAAATACTTTTTTTAATATATATTTTCATTTTAATAAATATGGGCTAAACTACACTTATAAATAAATATGGGTTAAATCATATATAGACCCAATAAAATATTTTGAAGCCCTTAAAAAAAAAAAAAAAAAAATAGACCTATAACATTTTACTAAATTTGAGGACCCTATTTTTAGACTAAAATTTTGGGGGCTGGCCTAGCAAGGGCCGGCCCTGACTACCACAATGAAGCTTCAAAGGCACAAAGAGAGAGCCTTGGATGGTGTGGAGATGGGGCAGTGGCACACTCATGAACAACACTGAGAAAGGTGTTCTCATTGCAGGGGATGCAGAGTTTTCAGGGTGTCCTAAAATCATGCTCTTCACTAGCTTCATCCAACAATGCCCTAAAGAGAGGGTGGTTGAGTAGAGTGACCTTGATTACATGTCTATTGTGATCTTCACCTACATACACTACCAAGTGACCCTTTGGAACATCTCTTGGAACACACTTCTCTTCTTTGTGGCACCATTCACAGCTACCTTCTTCACAAGGAATGACTCTCTTTTGGCAATTGTTAAGGCATAGAAATTTGCCCTTCATTATCTTCATGTGTATGTGTTAAGAGAGAAAGAGAGACAGAGCAAGGGAGATGTATGGGTTGTGGTAGGAAAGTGAAAGAGAGGTAGGTACAGATATATATATATATAAGTGTTGTTTTGAAACATTAAATGGTTGTCAATTGAGTAATAGATAGCATTTTCTAATCACTGTCTATTGAAGTTTAGGTGTAATACTCCAAGGCCATATTTGTCAATTACTTTTTTAAGTAACTTTCTGTTTTTTTTTTTTTTTTTTTTTTTTTTTTTTTTTTTTTTTCCAGTAGTTTTAAATTTTTTTAAAAAAAGAAAACCATTTTTAGACCCTAATAGACTAAAAACCCCAAAAATTTAAAAGTAAAACAAATTTGAAAAAAAAAATATTAATTAAAGACAAAAAAGCAAAAAAGTTAATTTTTTGTTACAAATTTAATTACTTAATTAATTTATTACTAAAATATATTACTTTCATGTCAAATTATAACAATGTCAAAAGTCGACTAGAACTCTTCTCTTTATCTCTTTCATAATAGAACCCGCAAACAACAATTATGTTTACCTTTCATGAAGAAAAATAAAAGAAAATTTATTAGCAACAATGGAACCACATTGTCCCACAATGACAACTTATTACTGTAGCATACTAAAATTTAACATTGGCAGTGCCATTTTGACATCAACCATTGCAGATATTTTAAGCTCACGAAAAAATCTCACTATGGCATAAGTTGAATTTGCTCGAATCCTCGGAGTTATTGGTGAGTTCACAAGTCCAAACTACACTAATTTGGTCCTCTGTATGGACTCGAGATATGTTGGATGTTATGTACAGGGATGAAACTACATCTACATATGATCTCGGAGTGCCATGAAATCCTCAACTTTTAGATGAACTCATAAATATTTGTATATATCATACACAAAAATCCTTCATTTTCTTTATTTTGGCACTCATCAATATCAAGCGATTGTGATAAAATATAACTGATTGTGGTAATTGAAAAATAAGAAGAGATCCAATTGTTAATTTTTTTGGTTATTCAATTTTCTTTGAATTGACAAGTTTTTCTGAGGATTCAATTTCGTTGGTATTGATAAAAAGAAAATGAAGTAGAATACATGGGAGGCATGTTTATTGATAATTTTGTGGTCACATTAGAATTATTTGATGTGTGAAACCAGTTATGCAACACTTATTCACCGACTAAACACATTGTTGGGATATTTGCCAAGTATCACACTATTTTTTACATTCTTAGCTATCACCTTTATTGACTATTTTATTGTCTATTCACTGGTGGATATTTTTTTTTTAATTTAAAAATTTTAAGTATTTTATGGAACTAATATGAAATTGAACTGGAATTATTAAATTTAATCAATTTTGTATCTATGGATCATTTGCATAAATTTAGTTGAAATTATTGCTAATCAGCGTGAGAGTGACTGGTAAGGAAAAGTACAGAAACACCAAAATTACTAGTGTACAAAAAAATGTTAACCTTTTATACATAGATGTGAACATTTTTTCTCACATCGATGATTTTGATGAACAAAAATTTTGATATTCATAGTGCTGCTTTTGTGGTATTGCATCCTTGCTATCATGCATACTATTACAAATAGTGCTGCTTTTGTGGTATTGCATCCTCGCTATCATGCATACTATTACAAATAAGCTCACATAAAAAGGTTCATGAAAAGCATGGGGATGATGCTAGGTGAGTGATCTTAGGAAGTAGTCAAAAAATAGACCCCACAAGTTGAGAGAATGGAATAGATAAGATAGATATACACATGAAAGTGGGTTGGGATAAGCTTGGGCAAAGTGTGATACCCACTTGTAATTCTAGATGTGTTACTCATTATAGATAATATATAATACAAGTGATTTTTAGAGAGGAGAGGGACATAATGGAAGAATTGACTTGATATGTTAGTTAAAAAAAGAAAAGAAATGATTACAATCTTTCTCAACCTTCTCTCTCTCTCTCTCTCTCTCTGTGGCAGGGCAGAGGCTAGGGATTTGTCCAGATGGAGAAGAAACCATCAACGAGGAGAAGAAAAAAGAGTAGAGTAGAAGATGACGGGAGGAGGGGTTGGCATAGGTGGGAAAGGAAGGAAAGAGGCAACAGTGGGTGGAGATGGGGCTGACGGTGGCAGGTGGGTGGGTATGGGACTAGGGGGTGGATGCAAAGCGCTTGAGGGTGTGGGAGATAGGTGGTAGTGCCAGTTGCTGGAGGTGGGGCATAGAGTTAGGGTTTCAAATGTTAGGAACAAAGATAGAATTGGAATTAAGTGGGGATTCAAATAAGTTAAGGGGCCAAAGAAAATACATAGAGATAAATGGCAGCACTGTAGAACAAAACATGTGAAATAGTGATATATGGGCAAGGTTTTTTTCATTTGTATTTTGATAGACAATCTCAGTATTATAAAAAATACACAATCAATCACTTTCATTTCTCATCAAATCTCACCATTTTTAGTGAAAAAAAATATTAACCAGCATAGTAAGAGAGTTGCCTTTCTTTCCATTTCTCATTATAACTTCTCACCTAATTTGTAAATCAAACATGAAAAAATATCTCATATCATTTTTTATTATTTATCATTAAATCATTCAATCCAAGTGAGCTAGTCAATGCACATAATTTTCCCAATGGTAAGAGTAGGTGATGCGAGAAAATGGGGGCTTTCACATCAAGAAAGTGCACTTTAGTAGAAAGTTCAAATATAATGTATGCCAACTATTACTACACTAATCATCTAATTTTGGCAACCATATAGCTTGGTTGGAAATCACATTTGTGGGTGATGTGATAGAAGATAAGCCATCACTTTATTTTTAATTCTCAAGATCAATCTGTATATACTTTGTGGTTTACTATTCCCCTTTATGTTCTAATCACTTTTAGCACAAAACTTATCATCTTTGATAAGTATTATCTATATCATAATTGTGTACAATCCGTACTAGTATTCTTCATGCATGTAGGGCACATTATGGTTTCCCTGCATAGATAGATATCTTGGATTGCGATGATAAGTCCTGATATCTGTGCTATCTGACCTACCCATACATGCATGCAGCAGATAATGGGAAAAAAGGAGATTACATGTTTTGATTGCAGAGGACATGGAGGAGAAAAGAATAAGATTCACACATAGTGTAAATATCATTGCTCAAAAAATAATGTCATTTTTGCTTCGTGTACAAGCCCCATGTGAGACTGTTGGCGCAGGATATGGAGGGAGCTCTGTCTATGGGCTGGGTTAAAGGGTTCTCTTGCAATATATGCCACGCCAAAAAAAAAGAAGAAAAGCAAAGAGCGCCATTCTCAACAAAATCATTTTTTCGTTCCATTCTATTCATAGCAAAACATGTAGCTTCCTCAATCAATATATGGGGGCAAGCAAGACACAGTGCCTCTGACCAATTCAGGTTTTTGCCAAGAACAAAATTATCCTCCACATATACAATGGACAAGATTGACAGGAAAATTAGATAACTTACCCAACTTATGACTGTCCTTGGATTCCTTGGTCTTCCCTTGAATCCCCAGTAACTGCCAAGCCTCGGATTTTAACATCGTAGTAAACTTCTTCAACTTTTCGTAGGTCATACTTCATTCCTGTGGTGGATAAGAAATAAGATTGATCCAAGAACTCAAATCAACTAGATGAAACAATTAAGTTCTAAAAGCACCGTAAAGAAGATAATGGACCATAGAAGGAAAAGCAGAGTACAAAAATGATAATCCTACCATCAAACTTCTTGCGCAAGAAGTCATTCCGGAGATTAAGCATGCGGAATGCCGCATGAAGATCTGTTAAAAATTTCAAGACCTTTCTTGGGCAATCATAATCCCCAGCTGTCACTTGGTTCACCACATACCTCGGCTGCAAAACCCAATTGTCATACTCAAATTCATCAATAGCAATTATTATTTTAATAAATAGCAATAGCAATTACAATACTACTGAATGTTGGCACAGAACTTCACATGAAAGTTCTAGAAGGTCCCTACAATGGCACTATAAAAGAAGTTTTTTTAGCACAATTAGTACTTCATCAGCCATGGGAAAGCCTTAAAACCTCTCATTCACCATAGGTTGTCAAAAAAAAAAAAAATCCTTCAAGAAAAACCCCTTGACCTGCAATTTATGATAGCCAATGAGCATAATGCTCTAAAAACCTGTAAACTGGTTGTTGATTTTCATGTTTTAAAGTACTGATTGACTAATTTGCTTTTTAAAATTCTTGGGGTTTCATTAATGGCTTTCGCAATTTTCAATTTTCCCACGATATCTCAAATCATAAGTAAATCTATGCGAGTCAACATAAGTTAAAAGCAAGCAACACAACAGCATGCCCTTTGAAGCCTGAAGAATGGAGCTCACCAATTCATTGGACATGAAACAAATTCCTGCAGAATAAGAAAAGATGCTACATCAGTACACCTATGAAAAATAGACAGCTCACGAGAATAATGGACTAAAAGAAAGTAATGGCAGTAGCATCATTTATGGCAAGACCATAAACAAAACATAAGACGGCTTTAAAAATAACAGAAGCTGCCTATATGGAGTCATCTGAAGTTATAATTACTCCAAATAAATCAATCAAATATGATGATAAAAAAATAATAAATAAAGAGAATAACTTAATGATAACAATGACAAATCAAATTCAGTAAAATAGTAACTCCACACAGCTCCAAAAGACTCAAAACCAGCTATATCTATCAATTTGTATTACCCAAAATTTTCATGTATATGTGGAACTGCTTATCCACATTAAAATCTACATGTACAACAAACATATATATCAATGAAATCTTTATATAACATTTATGTAATGATCTTTATAATACAAACTTCATTGTTGGAACCACTCCCAACTATAAACTAAACTTGATGATTTACAGATAGCAAAACCATGGCGCCGAATTTTTATAAATAAATCTGCTGCTAATAATCATTCCACATTTTTTTCCACATGTCCCACAAGGAATGGAGTTTGAGCATGGTGTAGGAAGTCTTGTTTCCAATACAGTGGTCCACCTTCTGGTTCTATTTGCACAAATCCTTTGTGGCTTAACAATTTTTTTAAAACATTTTCAGTAACTAGGGCCAGTGCAAGGCAACAAAAACCCAAGTATTTGTTTCATTTTTCATTCCCAAAACACATTTCCAACAGAATGAATTTATCACACCCGACAGTGATCTTGCTACAAATTTAGATTGGAAACTTTAAATCACTCACCAATAAGATAGTCTTCAATATCCAGACCAAATTCAGAATTATTCACTGCATGATTGATCAGCAATCAAAAAAAGGTTATTCTGGCAGTTAGTATTGATAAAGAAGTGATGATTGAAGACCAGTGCAGATTATTGAGGAACTTGCATTGACAGCTGACTATGATAAATGAACATAAAACGCAGATGGCAAGTAATTCCAACCAGTTCTAGACTTCTAGTCACCATTAAACAGTATGGAGGGAACATTTTCTCTTTTTTTCTCCTAATAATTAAAAATACAGACAGAAACGCCAAGACAACAAAACCAATTTCAACAACTCGTAAATGGATTAATGTGTATGGGATGGGGTATTCATAAATTTTCTGTAGGATGAGATCATGTTTCAAAGAAATCTACTATAACTGAAAATCCAATCAGCCTAAAATTCCACCAAAGAACTTCGCCAGGGTGAATGGATCCCATGGTTGTCAAAATCACAATGTTGATTGTAGGACCCTATGATCCCAAAATACAAGATTGATCTATATCCCACTGAAATCTGTACGTAGTACAATCTTACAGGATCTTTTGGACCACAAAATCAGGGCTTGAGTTGTAGAGGCATATGATCCTACTGATGGACCTGTTTCTGTGTTTTTTAATTAATCCTTCTAATTATTTGTGCCTTACACCCCAAATGTCAATAATTAACAAAGCACAAAATTTAGTAATTGTAGTAAGTCAGTCAACTAAAGCTTTGAGATTCTGCAACAAAATCCTACATGGTTGAGCAAATCTGGAGTGAAAGCTCAGCAATTTGTCTTCTTCATTTCGAAATGTGTGATTTTGGCAAGAGATGTTCCCAACCAGTGTCCCCAACAACCCACTCCTTTATCAGTGATTTCAATCTCTGTTTTATGACTCTCATGGCTATTGTAATAGAGCATATGACCAAAAAGATATAAGACATTTTTTAAATTTATTATCATATTTATTCAGTAATCAAATGCAACCGATTATTGTCATTTTCTTTTTTACTTGTTTCTCTCAAAACAACAATTATCTTATCGTCAATTAAATCCAATTCATTTTATGGCTATTTGATCAATAACAACCAAGGATAGTTGTTTTTGAGATTAGAGGGTATCTAATTTAAAAAATGTAAGATATTTAATTAGTTGATTTGTAAATTTTTAATAGTTTATTCGTCCATGAATTGTGCATGATGGTATGCCCACTTGATCCTCTCTTGCACCTTCGTATAACTTGCTTATTAGAACTTGTAAATGATCACTTCTACAATTTGAGCTATGTACTCAAAATTTGCAAGGTGAAACAAAACAAGGTGATTAGTTTTCTAAAATTTTGTTGGATTCCAAAACTTTTTACTAACTTCTACGAATTATATTCGTACACTTCTTTTTTTTCCTTATTTTATAGAATCTTATGATTCTCAATCTAATCCTACAATCCAATTCTACAATCCCAAAGTAAAGAGGAATGTGGACCATGTGGCTGCAGGCGTGCTCTGTTCAGCTTTCTTTCTTGATGTCAATGATGTAAGCCGAAAAATACCACATTGAAGCCACTTAAGTTACATTTATAGTCTTTGAATTATGGTTATTTGGCAGAGATGATGCATTTTGTGTACTTGTGCAGGTTTGGTGAACAACACGCAATTTCAAGCAAAAAGTGGCACATAAGCAAGGGGAATTCGCCGCCTGCCATCCTACCGCACATACGGCCAGCTTTCACTGCACGTGCAGCCCACTACCGCTCGAGTTGCCAAGCAATAAGCAATGGTAACCGGTTTTTGTAATCTTTGATAGTACATTTGTAGTGTTTGGATTGGAATAGTTGTAAAGCTATTGAGTTTAATTAAATATTCTTCTATCTTTACTCTTCATTCGTTTTCTGTGATTATTGAATGAATGCTTTACTTTATTCTTCATTGTTATTGTATTCAAAACCCGAGACGGGTTATGCTATGACTAGACGGATTGTGCCACAAACCCTAGTTTAGAGTGGATGCTTAGTATCTTTACTTATTTAAAAGAGTTTGGGAAGATTGGTTCACGACATAGCAATCAATAACTGACAATCCCCCCAAGTTTTCTCCTTCTCTTAGAATTCTAAGGCATAAAGACAACCTAATCCCATTTTATATACAATTTGGTAACAGAAGCTCTTCAGACACTTTTGAAGAGTGAAAAACAAAATAGTTAACAAAAAAATTGCAGAGGAATCATGGAAACGACAAGAGAATAAATTTATGATGCAGAATGAAAGGGAAATTATCCTCCAAAGCTAAAGAGCAGCTCCAGTGTATTGCCCAGAAGATCCAAAACTCTTCAATCAAACTTTAATAATCTCTAGTTTGTGAATTTGGAACCTCAACCAAATTCCAGAAAGTGTAAGTAGTATTCCAAACAAAACTTTTTCAATGAGACATGCCATGCAACCAGCAAAGAGAAACTTTTTTTTTTTTGATAAATAGCAAAGAGAAACATCTATTATCCACTTATAAACTGCTCTTGAGAAAGAAGAAAGTACTAAAAATTCGAACATACAACCAAGTTTTTCCTCAGCATCAGTATGCATAAGAAGACTCCCTGTTTCTAGCCAATGCATAAAGGCCAACAGTGAGATTACCGTTTGTGTCTCACTCCTCCAATCACCGTTATACCTAAACACAAGCAAAAAAGGTCAATCACAAAAAATAAATAGTTAACAGAAAATTACAATGGTACCAACTTCCAAATGTCCCACTCACCTATAATACTGCCCAGGGCATTCATGAAGAATTTCAGCAAGTCGATGGAAAAGCTCTTTCAGCACCCCAATCTGAGCCTTAGCCTTCTCTAACACCTCTAAAAAAAATAGAAAGAATAGGAAAATTTAAGGCCTACCTTAATTTGTAATTGTGTTCTTGAAGTGTACACAAGAGCAAGCACTCATGTCAAACATTTAAAGGGCATAAACCTATCCTATGATGATAGAAGGGCAATTTCATTTCATCTAGTTTACTAAAAGATATGCATTGTATTATTTTAGACTCGAGCATTTCTCTCCATGCTTTGTACATGTAGCAATTACAAACAACTCACACTAGTTTAATTACAAATCAGTTCAGGTGGGTATTTCAAGTTTGGAAACCAAAACAACATTTATAAAGTCTGGATTAAAATTTCATTTTATTGTCCCTCAGTTTGCTTCTGGAAACAAAATGCATAAAACAGGTCAAAACTTTCTTCATTTCTTAAACCAAATGCACTGTAGGTTGGCATTTTGGAAGTACGAATCTTTTAGGCCCCGTTTGTTTGGGGTTTTAGGGAGGGGATTGGGATTACTAATCCCTTGGTATTACTAATGGGGTGTTTGTTTTGAGAGATGAGGAGGGGACTATTAATCCCTTGGTATTAGTAGTCCCCTTGGAAAGGGGATTGGTAAGGAGGAGTTAGAGATGGTATTAGAAAAATAGTGAGGGAATTAGAAATTTTTTCATTTTTTATATATTGGAATTTTTTTTTTTAAATATTAATGTTTAATTTTTTATATTTTTTTATTTGTTTTATTATTTTATATAAAAATAATTTAACAGTTCCTCACTATTAATCCCCTCACTATCAATCCCCTCCATTCTATCTCTAAAAATCCTCACTATCAATCCCCTCCGTTCTATCTCTAAAAATAAACGGGCCTTAATGATGGCTTTAAATAAGCAAGAAAAGTAGCTCCAAAACGCTAACCAAACATTTGTTCAAGAATGTTCAAACTAATTTCCTTTTCCTTACTACCGTTTTTCTCTTTCTTCACTTTCTCAGCAACAAAACATATTTTTCAAATCACTTTTTTGAAAAAAACTCAAAAAACTAAAACCAAACGTAGTGTATGCTACTCAAAAACACTGAACCCAACCAAAAAAAAAAAAAAAGATGCACAAATCAAACATTACCTCAAGAATGTTAATGCACTAGTTTCCTTTTCCTTTCTAACATTTACCCCCAAGAACCACCACACTACACATTTCTCTTTCTTCACTTTCTCAGCAACCACCAAACAGATGCTACTAAAAAAGCCTCTAAACCCAATTCATTTTCCTTTCTAACATTTCCCCCCAAGAACCACACTACAAATACATTTCTCTTTCTTCACTTTCTCAGCAACCAAAACAAATGCCTACTAAAAAACCCTCTACACCCAACAAATAAATAATTATAAAAAAAAAAAAACAGAGAATGAGAAATAGTAGTAGAGTGGGTACCAGGAATGGGGCGAGACTGATGAACCAAGAGGAGACTAGAGTACATGAGCCTGGAAGCGGACTCAATCTCCATCGCGACAGCTCGAATGCGATCGCGTAAGCTTCCAGAATCTTCGAGATGGTGACGGAAATCTTGGAACTGTTTCTCCAGGGTAGAAGAAGGAGAAGGAGGCGCGTGACCTCCACCGTCCGCCATTGAAGAGGACGAAGAGAATGATCGAAGCTTGAAGAGTGTGGAGGAGAGAGAATTGGGGGAAATGGAGGAGCGAAGAGGGAAGAGAATGAGGGGAGAGAGGGGTGTAGGGTTAGGGTTTAAGGAGCGTGATGAGAGTGTGAAGTAGTAGGAGTAGAAGGCGTTTCGAAACGCTGACTTCATAGTATTACAAAGGCTTGTCTTGGTTGATTTTGGGGTTAGTCTTTAGTGTTTTTTGGGTACGAATAAATTACAGTATATAATTTTAAAAAAATTATCACTCTGTTACTCTCTTTGGTTTTAATTTTCAAAATTTATTTTTTTTTAATTTTATATTTCTATTTTTTATTTTTTATTTTTTATTTTTACTAAATTTTAAAAATATTTTTAGTATTTTTTTTTAATTTTTAGACACACTTAATATAAATACACAAAAAAATATAATATTTATGAAAAAAAAATCTTTAAAAAATTCACTCAACACTAAAAATACAATAAAAATAAAAAAATTCAATATATTTTTCATATTTTTTGTGTATTTATTAACTTTTTAAAATATTTTTTTACAAATATTTTACTATTTAGATATATCTAAATAAAATGTATCTAAAAAAGTTTTTAAAAAATGCTTGAAATTTTAAAAATATTCACTAAAAATAAAAATAAAACACACGAAAATATAAAACTCAATTTCTTGAAATTAAATTTAAAAAATTCAAACCAACACATTGATTAGAAATGTTGATTATTGGAAAATAATTGAAAAAATATATTTAGGTAGCATTTGATAGAGTTTTCTAAGTATGATTTGAGAATTGAGTTGTATTTTGAGTTTGTAAGTTTTGAAATTATGATTTGAGCGTGAAAAATTTGTTTGGTTATAAGTTTTGAAAAGAGTTTTGAATTAAATTTTGAATATTTGATGTAACCTATGAAATAAGAAAATTTATTTGGTTATGAGTTTTAAAAATAGTTTTCAAAACTTATTTCAAATTATTATAACTCATAACCAAACACACTACTCAAAACTTTATTGAAAATTCTAATCAAAACTCATAAGCAAACTCTTTTTAAAATTTAATTCAAAAAGTAAATTACAAAAAAAAATAACATTAATCATTTTTTTAATTAAAATATTACAAAGGAAATAAATTTTTTTTTCAGAATAAATATTCAATTACTGATTTAAAATAAATTTTGATTTGTGTATTTAGTTCGAATTTTTTTTTCATATTTTGTAGATAAAATATTTTTATATTTTTAATAAGGGAAAATTGGTCTAAGGTCCCTCTCCCACTTTTCATAATGGAAGAGTTTTTCATATTTTTCAGATAAAATATTTTATATTTTTAATAATTATTGTCACAAATAATTTGCTATTTACTGTTTTGTTATTTTTAAATAAATGGCCAAAAAATATTAAAAGCTATTATATATGTAGGAGTCAAACAAAAATTCGAATATTATTTTTGTAGCATCTACGCAATTTATCTCACACAATTCAATTTTATTTGATTTCAATTTTCTCTGGAGAGAATTTCTTTGGAACTGAAATTTCTCTGGATTTCAATTTTCTCTGGAGAGAATTTCTCTGGGACTGAAATTTCTCTGGATCCTGTTAAGGGACCTTAGACATCATAAAAATATTTGATGTCCTTTATACTATAAAATCATAATATCAGGGACCTTAAAAAAAATACCCCAAAAAATTATTATCACAAATAATTTGCTGTTTATTGTTTTATTATTTTTAAATAAATGGCCAAAAAATATTAAAAGCTATTATATATGTAGGAGCCAAACAAAAATTCGAATATCATTTTTGTAGCATCTACGCAATTTATCACACATAATTCAATTTTATTTGATGTATTAATTTTGCTGATTTTCATCATTGATGAACCTTAGTTGATGAATCAGAGGCTGTGTGAACCTGAGTTGACGAACATTCATTTACTCAAATTGATGACCAACCTGACTTCAAAATACATGCCTGAACATTTACTTCATATTAATATTTACTCTGCAAAACAACCAAAACCTTCATTAATGTTTCAACCACCTCCATTACTTGCCCCACCAGGTTCACCCGTCCACCACCTACTGTCGATAATTTGTTCTTACAAATTCAGTCTACAAGAAAGCCATTTTGAAGACATATCGGTGTGAAAGAAGAAGCCAAACAGAGCTGTTTATAATTTACAAATTCAGTGAGATATAACAAAGCTTGCACATTTTGGTGTAAAAGAAGAAGCCAAACAGAGTTGTAGGAGATAAGGGTCAGAGCCTAAGATCACAATTCAGTCCGAAATTTACCCAGCTGCACATCACTGGTCAACCGACAGGGGTCAACCGGAGGGTTTTCCAGCCGGTCAATTGGTTCCACTACCCGTGCAGTTTAATAGCAAGCCTCGGTTTAAGCATTTCTTCCATTCAGTTTTTCTATACTTTTGCTTACATTTTCACCCTATTTCCTTATCTCCCACTAAAATTTACCAACTCCAATACCCACCATTCACAATGTAATTATGCGTAGAACAAAAAGAGTAAGACCAAAACTTAGTGAAACCTCTAACCCAAGGCCATGCTAACAACAGCAACAACCTCAAATTAGGCCATATCCAAATGAGGATTTTCTCATTTACAATTATGAACAAGCATATCAATAATTTTACAACTGGCCAATTGTCATCGGGAGAAGGGTAAATCTTCCTCCTCTATGATCTTCTCTTGGTTGCTAAACTTGATACGATGGGGTGGCTAAATTTAATTAATTTACCCCAAAATGTATATTCACGCCTTGTGTATTTATTTTACATTCACTTGAGACAATTAAGGGAGAAGATGAAGACTTTAGTCTTACATCTTATGTGAAAGGTAAAACTATCACATTTAACATTCGCACTTTGGCACAAATTATTGGAGTTGAGTAAGAGGATTTGCATATTTGTTTTCAGAGTGAGTCTGACTTGTTTGACATTGTTGGCAATATAAGTGAAGGTTATACTACTATTTGTGAGAGGCGATTTACCAGTAGTAATTTTCAAGCACGACATTTGAAACCCCACCTTCGTATTCTTCATCGCTTTATAGTAGAAAATGTCACAATTCAGTTCAAAGAGAGGAAGATGACCTGTGAAGAATCTTCAACTGTGATCTTTAGCTTTAAATTTCTTTGCACGTGAAACTTTTCAGAAATGGAGAAGACTAAAGAAAGAGAATATGTATGTTTGGAAGCTTTTCAGAGTGGAGAAGACGAAACGAAGAAATCTGCCAAATGGGAAGTAGAGTTGCATTTTAAACTGTGTGGTGGAATTATATTTTGAAACTTGTATCCAAATGTGAAATGCAAATAGAAGGGTGGAAATACATTTGGAGAGCACAACCAAACACAGCCGTAGTTTCTCCTTCTCAATTATTGTTAATCATGTTGTTTAATTTTGGAGTCCTGATCCTCTCCAACCAGAGCCTCCGGCCATTCCTCCTGTCAAGGGCCAGGATTTGGCCATGTCATCAGGGCTGGATCCTACGGGTCAAATCAAGTTTGGTTTAAAAAAAAACAAAAATTGAATTTCTTTGTATTCAACACAGCCACAAAGCTTCATTCCGATTCACTTTTTTTCCTCCCTCTTCAGCCTTGGTGAACGGCGATGGCATCTCGTGACACCGACGACGGCGAATCCAAGTCGGCGGCGAACATCGGTGGGCTCTCCCTCTCTCCCTCTGTCTTACTCTGAAGATTTGGACTGCGATTTGAGCCGCGAGCCATAGTTAAAGGTAAAAAAAAAAAAATTTGTTGTTCCCCCGAAATAATCTCTTGTCCCTTTCCCATCCTTCACTAGAGATGAAGGAAAGCTGAGATGGAGAGACCACCATTTTAGGTTGAAATGTTTAGTGAAATGGAAAAAATCTGAGATGGTTGTTTTCTGGGATTAAAATTTTCTCGTCCCTTTAGGTTAAAATGTCCCGTCCTTCGCCAGGGATGAAAGAAATCTGAGATGGAGAGACCACCATTTTAGGTTAGAATGTTTAGTAAAATGTTATGTTGTGAGTTGTATAGTTTTGCTGGGATTAAAATGGTTATTTATCTAAGAGCCATTGTGATGCCTCAATTCTAAAGCAAGCTAGTTTTGCTGGGATTAAAGTGGTTGTTTATCTAAGAGCCATTGTGATGCCCTAATTCTTCTTTGATTTGTTTGTTAATTTTTTTTTAAATCATTTAGTTAATGACTTAATTTGTGATTGTTTGAATATAATTTGAATATTCTCTCATTGAATTGCTGATGTGAGAATTATACTTGAAAACCTAGTTGACATACAAATATGAATTTATGTCCTAACATCAATGATCCAGTATTATGATTCAAAATTAGGCCAAGTGAGAGATTGAGAATTCATTAGGTTAATGGGGTTGTCTCTATTTTGTGGAGTTTGCAGTTGAATTTTTTATTTTAATTATATGTTATTATGTTTAAATAAATGTGTATATTGTGCATTGAATGTTAACACAGCATTTCACAAGAAAGTATTGAACTCCACAGATATTCTTCCATAAGGGCCTTGGGTTGGATATTTGAAAGTGTTTTCTAGAAAATGAAAAAAGAAAACAAAAAAACAACCAAACAAATATTCTACTTCCATAATTCACCTAATAGCAGAAGGGTGTTTTTTATATTCTATTGATTCAGCAATGCCAAAGAAAGTGTTCATGTGCAAACTGAAACATTCACAATGGAGACAACTCATAAGCTGCTATATTATGTGTTCATGTGCAAACTGAAACATCCACAATGGAGACAAAACTCATAAGTTGCTATATCATGCAACTCAAATTTATTGTTTTATTAACTAAAAAAGAATAGTATTGTTTGGTTGTTCATGAACTCAAACATTTATACTTTTGTAGCGTAAACAAATTTTCCTAAGAGATGTCTTCATGTGTTTTGCTATTTGATAATTTTTTGTAGGTCAATGTCAATGTCAATGTCAAGCACAAATGCAAGTATGGACAACATTCATGAAGTTAGATTCGACAACCGCAATTGTCGATGTGGCAAAAAAGCTATGGTTAAGATTTCTCAGTCAACGGATAATCCAAATTGCCTTTATTTTGTATGCCCCAATCCACCGAATGATTGTAAGTTCTTTGAGTGGTGGATCCCTCCACATATGCAGCATAATTTGATGGTGGTCGAGAATGATATTCTTGA